GTTTGAAGTGTAAGTCGCTCGTAGAAGATGACATCACGTGCTGCCACTGTTTCCTTCGAGTGGACGTAAAAAATCTTCCATGCGTTGTAATGCTTTTCGATGCCCAGGTGTAGTCCCCACTGTGCGCGTTGAGAAATGTCAGTAGATCTGCACTTTGGATGCCCGATTGATCCTAGGGGGGGCTACAGGCGCGTTCGCCTAGGGGGTTATGGGCGCACTCTGACCCGCTACTTAACAAGCCCTTTTATCCCAATGGTCTAGTGGTTGGGATTCTGACATGGTATCAGAGAGAAGGTCTCGGGTTCGAATCCCAGTGTGTGCACTTCGGGCATCCCAGTGCGGGGGGGTGTCAGAGGTCCACTGGTGATCCCCGATTGATCCTAGGGAAGGGTTACAGGCTCGTTGTCCTGGGGGGTTATGGGCGCATTGACCCGCTACTTAACAAGCCCTTCTATCCCAATGGTCTAGTGACTGGGATTCTGACATGGTGTCAGAAAGGTCTCGGGTTCGAATCTCGGTGTATGCACATGTAGGCCGTTGCCGCTGTGCTCAGTCCTGGGCCTCCCAGTGTGGGGGGGTGTCAGTAGATCTGCACTTTGGATGCCCGATTGATCCTAGGGGGGCTACAGGCGCGTTCGCCTGGGGGGTTATGGGCGCACTCTGACCCGCTACTTAACAAGCCCTTTTATCCCAATGGTCTAGTGGTTGGGATTCTGACAAGAAAATCTTCCGGCTCTTGCAGTGTGTGGGCGATACTGTACCATGCACCCGAAGACTCGTAACATTTTTGTGTTGCCCAACTTTCCTGTCCACAGCAGGTGCGGTGATGCGTTGTTCGGAAGTGACGACGACGAAAGCAAGTTGTGCAGCATGACAGCGTGGTCCATCGCCTCAGGCCACTGGTGATTGGGCAGTCGCATGCCACGCAGCAATTTGCGCATGGTGTTCTGGAGAGCTCGATTCATCCGTTCTGCCACACCTTGCTGTTGATGGGCGTAGGGAAGCGAAATGAGTCTCTTGATGCCTCGTGTTGCGAGGTACTGCCTGAACCTCTGGGACTGATATTCCCCTCCTCCGTCAGACTGGAAGCTTTTCAGCTTTGCGCCCGATTCTCGTTCTGCGACAGGTAGCCAGGCGATGAAGGCTTCGAAGGCCATGTCGCGACTTGGAAGATTAAGGTGCCAGACGTAACGAGTGGCGGCGTCGATGAAAGTGATTACGTAATTATACGCGCCTTGTCCTTGTTCGCGAGTATACAGAATGTCGCCGTATACTTTCTCGAGTGGTGTATAAGATGGCGCACTTGGATTGTGGTGAGAGGCGAACGGTTGATGCGGTAAGTCGGCTTCGGGACAGGTGAAGCAAGTTCCGCGGACTCGTTGGAGTTCTCTGCCGTCGGGTAAAAGGAGGGAGTCCTTGTCGAGCACTGCTGCCTTGATTGTGTTGTTTAACGTGGTGTTGCTTGGATGTCCTAGTCGTTCGTGCCACAGGGACTCACTTGCACGATGTCCGGGTGAGCGCCTATACAGGTCGGAGTTGGAGTAAAAGGCGGCGGTGAAGTTGGCGCTTCTGTGAACTTCGCGAGGAGTGGGAGTTAGCTGCTGCGCAGGAGTCGGTGGAGTGTTGTCGATGTGTGGCGATGTCGTCGAAGAGCTCGCGATTGGTGTTGTAAGTGTTGTTGGTGTTGCCGATGTTGTCTCTGCTACTGTTGATGTTGTTTCTGCTGCTGTCGATGTTGTCACTTCTTGTCGGATTGTTGCTAATGCTCGTGTTCTTTCTGCTTCAGGTATGGTATGTGAATACCAGAACCCTCCGGGGCTGAAGTCAGGGTCGAGGTCCGGTGGGTGCGTCCAGGGGGCGAAGTTGACGATGGCATCGCTATCGGCCGTTCCTTGATCTGGTACGAAGTCGAGGACGAAGACGTTGTTCTTCAATACTGCTCTGCCGATGTAGAGTCCTCCTCGACCGTGGAAGAGCTTGAACTCCTGTGTGGTGCTGTCTGCTTCAAGATGGATCCCCTTCGCCATCAGTTGGCTGACGCTCAGTAAGTTGTAGCCAAGTCCTTCTGCAATTAACACTTTAGACATTTGTAAGATGACGTTAGTCTCTCTTGATTGAAGTTGTACTACGCCTTGTCGTCGTGTGTGCAGGTTTTGATTGTTGGCCACGGTGATGACGACTTCGCGTTGAAGTTGATGTTCTTGTTGAACGAAGCGACTTGAAGAACACATGTGTTGTCCGCAGCAACTGTCCAAGAACCAGGTGTCTTGCCCAGACGGTTCGCTTTGGGCGATAGCTGCATACGTCAGAGTGGGCTCCAGTGAATCGCGGCGGGGAGTCCTTTCATCGAGTTGGTCTTCTGGTGAGTAGTAGGGTGGTGATCCGGTGATGCAGGAATCCCTTGTCCTTGTCATGCAGCTAACGATGTTTCTTGTTCCTTGTGCAGATTGCGATGAAGATGTTGAAGGCTGCACTTGACTGTTGGGATGTACCTCCGTAG